CATTGCAGAACAAGAAAGATGTAGCTTGCAGTAATCTTATCAAAACTATATTCTATACAACGTCACCTCCTACTCTTATATAGAGATACAGGTGAACAGATTTAACATAATTACAAAGAAGCCAGAGAACTATCTAGATAGAAACAGTACGCTTAAATACATGAGTAGATGTATATTCTAATATCCCCCCTCAAATTGATGTATCGGAGACGATCGTCAGTTTGCTCCTGAGTTCTTGAAACCGAGGTGTAGATAAAGACTTGGTAAAGATATCGGCTATTTGATCCTTCGTGCTGATCGGATGAAGAATGATGTGATGTTGTTGAATGTTGTCACGTACGAATTTCTGATCAATCTCCACATGTTTAGTTCTGGAATGAAACACTGGATTGTTAGCAAGCGCTATGGCAGACATGTTGTCGCAATAGAGATTCGTTGGATAATTTTGAGAGATGCCGAAATCAGTGAGAAGTCTACGAAGCCAGATGATATCGGATGTGAGGGCGGCAAGAGCTCTATACTCGGACTCTGTTGATGATCTAGACACAGTGTTCTGCTTCTTTACCGTCCAGGAAATGAGGGTGGTACCGAGAAAGGAGCAGAAACCGGTAGTTGATTTTCGTGTGAGAGGATCACCGGCCCAATCCGCGTCTGATGAAAGGATAACCAGCCCAATCCGCGTCTGAAAAATATTTTAAAACGAGATCAGTTTTTGTAATTGGTAGACCAAAATGTAACGTACCTTTGATGTAACGAAGTAATCTTTTGAGCAAGTAGAAGTGTTTGGGCATCGGTTCATGCATGTGTTGTGATAGGAGATTAACGCTAAACGAGACGTCGGGGCGAGTTAACGTCAAATACTGCAAGGCACCTATAATGCTACGGTACCGTGCGGGATTAGCCGTCAAGAAATCAGAGCTATATTCCGATGGCAATTTAGTGCATGTAGGATTTGCCAGCGGGTTGCATAGATCCATGTCAGCTTGCTTGAGAATTTTCAGCGCATATTTGGCCTGATTGAGAAAGTAAGATGTGTCAGATTTAGAAATTTTTATACCTAAGAATTCACTTACTTGGCCAAGCCGTTTCATAGCAAATTCTGAGTCAAGTTGTGTCAGAATGGTATTAATATGTTGTTGATTATTGCCTGTAATTAGTATATCATCAACATATATAAGTAAAAAGATACTGACATGAGCCTTGCGGTAGATTAGAAGAGACGGGTCAGCCTGACTGTGTGTAAAACCAAGTTTGAGAAGAAATATCGTGAACGTGTTGTACCATTGGCGCGGCGCCTGCTTTAGCCCATAGATAGCTTTGTTTAGGCGACAGACGTGGTTTGGTCGAGTGCGATCTTCAAAGCCTTTGGGTTGCTTTATATAGATGGTTTCGGTCAGGTTGCCATGCAAGAACGCATTGGCTACGTCTAATTGCTGCACGGGCCAGTCAAAATATAATGCGATTGAAAGCATGATACGGATGGTTGGGAGTTTGACGACCGGACTGAATGTTTCAGTGTAGTCCGTGCCAAACTCTTGATTGTTACCTTGCGCGACCAATCGTGCTTTGTACTTAGCTATTGATCCATCTGTATGAAATTTTGTACGATATGTCCAACGACTTCCTAGAATAGATGTGTTCGCTGGAGGTTCTACAAGACACCAAGTACCTTGCTTTTGAAGGGCTAATACCTCTTCAGACATTGCTTGCCGCCAATGACTGTGTTTAGCAGCTTCGGCAAAATTGGTTGGATCTTGAGTAGTTACCGAAGATGTCTGTACGTGAAGAAGATTTAGGCGAGCTGGAGGTTTAAGGGATCCTGTTTTGCTTCGGGTGATCATATGGTGTGTTGGAATCGAATTAGAGTGCTGTGGCTGTGGGTCTACATCGTGAGAGGTAGATAATTCTGGATCGTGAATTGAGAGCGCCTGCTGAGCATTGGGTGCAATATTTGAAGATCTTTGCTGAGCGGGAGGCTGAGCTGAAATGTTAGACGACATGCTAAACGAAGCAGGTATTAATAACGATGGACAAATAGATACCAAATCAGTGTTGAGCGGAGAATTTTGAGCTGAGAACGGAAATTTATCTTCAATAAAGCGAACATGTCTGGAGATTAAAATTTTATTTGTAATCATGTTAAGGCATTTGTAGCCCTTATAATCTTCAGCATAGCCAATAAAGACACATTTTTGAGCTGTCGGTTGTAATTTGGTACGGGTTTGTGACGGAAGTAAGGGATAGCATTCGCATCCGAAAATTTTTAAAACATCATAAACAGGTTTCTTATGGAATAAAAGTTCAAGAGGAGATTTGTTGTTAGTGTTGAGAGACGGTAGGCGGTTAATTAAATATACCGAAGTTTTTACCGCATCAGGCCAGAGAGTATGAGGCATAGACGCAGTAACGAGAAGCGTTCTTGTTGTTTCGATGATATGACGATGTTTCCTTTCAGCCAACCCGTTTTGTTCCGGGGTATATGGACAGGAGAGCTGGTGGGTAATGCCTTGCCGCGCCAAGTAATTTTTAAACGTATTGTTGACGTATTCAGAGCCACCGTCCGTTCGCAAGATTCGCACACGATAATCTGTCAGTCGCTCCAACTGAGTTTGAAAATTAACAAAAGTCTGAAAAACATCAGATTTATGACGTAGAGGAAAAATCCAGGTAAAGCGAGAGAAATCATCCACGAAAATGACATAAAACTTGAAACCTTGACAGGACAATGAAGGTGCCGGACCCCAAACATCCGAGTGAATGAGGGCTAACGGGACCTTTTGTCTATTATTAGAGCAATGAAAAACAAGCTTATGCGATTTAGATGCAATGCAAGCTTCACAGTTATGTAGATGAGAATTTATTTGCAGATTAGGATTACAATTAGCAATACAATCTAGAATACGTTTGTGCGGATGTCCTAATCTATGATGCCACGTATGAACCGCCTTCTTGGAGACAGTCAGAGCATGATGACGAACTGGAGATACCGCTGGGATCTTGTATAGACCACTGTCACATGGTCCTTGATACAAAATTTGATGGGTCGCCAGGTCCTTCAACGTAAAACCAGACGGATCAAAAAATAATAGAAATTTGGTTATCTTTTGTTAGCTGAGAAATGGACAGTAAATTGAATTTAAGAGAAGGAGTATGAAGTATTTGCGATAAACGCAGCTTACGAGTAGGGGTCGGGAGAATGCCCGCCCCAGTATTTGCATTGTTTACCGAATTACCGTCACCAACAGTAATATTGTCGTGACCGAGATATGGCTGAGCGATCGACATGGTCTCCATTGTGTTGGTAAGGTGAGCTGAAGCTCCCGAATCCAAGTACCAAGAGGAATCTTGTGGATCAGCGCTTGCAACTAGGGCCGTAGCCGTGTTCTTGCTAGAGGGAATGTATTGCGGGTTCAAACGGTGCCAACAGGTTTGGGCCGAATGACCCTTTTTGTAACAGATTTGACAAAGAATTCCTGCGTTTGATTTAGGTCTGCTTCCCGTCGAGAGATGCTGTTGTTCAGGTACACGAGTAATGTTAACTGAACTGTTGTCATTCTTGTTTCTTGGTCTACGACCTCTGCCCCTGTTTGTAAACAGCGCCAGATTGGGATCGTGAGACGAGGAGTAGCGCGCGGCATCAGACGCAAGATTAATTTCCTCACTGAGCAGTAGAGGATAGAGTTGATCCAGCGTCAAAGACAAAGAGGTGGTACGTATCGTAGTCTTGAACGATTGGTATTAAAGGGAATGAATCTTAATATTTTGTTTTATCATGAGAAAAATAAAGTTGATCCATTTTAAATGTAAATGAGTGAAGCATTTTTTTTTTTTTTTTGGATTATTTCACTTGAGTGAGTGTAATGGATTGTTTGAACCTTATTTCTAAGAAAAAATTAAGAATTTAGACTTCAAAAAGATGAGCATTAAATAATTTTAATTTTAGTAGTCAGAAAGTAAATTTTACTATTTTAGTTTTGCTTTTATTTTTATGCATACATATTGTAGAATAGCATTAAATTATTAGAATGACTTAGAATATTGATAAATACCACCTTAGAAATTTTGAATTTATAATCATACCAACAAATAAATAAAAAAGCTGGCTAAATGAGCTAATTAGTTGAGTCACATGCAGCTCAAACTCAACCTCATTTATGACTTAAATTTAACTCATCAAATTGATTCTTTTTTTATCTAAGCGTTCATTTGGGACGATTATTAAGGAGACTGTGATTTTTTTTAAAGCTATTGCAGAAAATAATTTTTTTTAACAAAAATTTACTAAAAATAACAAAAAAATAATCACCAAATAAAAATTATATTTACATTTATGAAGCCTAAATCTTTAATAAGCCTAGCTCAAATCAACTCATTTGTATTCCTAATTGATAACTCAGTATTTTTCAAATAAATTACAATAATTAAAATATCATTACAACTCATTAAAAAAAAAGAATATTCTATGTATATTCTTTCTCATTTTAAATATTTATTTTTAACATAAAAATTTAGCATCGATGAATAGTGTTATGCTACTATTGGCGACGCACTGTTCACATCCTGAATTTTGATGTATGGTTTAGCATTCGAATGGAGCGAATAACAGATGGTATACCACCGTATTGTGATGGTCTTAAAGATGTAAACTAATTTTGCGCATTAGAGCTTTGATGATGAGAAGAGATTATTCTGTGCGAAGTCCGGACGGAAAAAACTGTCTGAATTGGTGTGTAATTATTGAGTATTTGTACATACTCAGCAAATACTCTATAAATATCCAATAAATAAGCAAATACTCATAAAATATTTGACGAATACTCAGCAAATACTTACAAAATTCTCATTAATACTCACAACCGAGTATTATATATACACAATAAATACTCAATAAGTATGCAGCAGATTAGGACCGTTTTACCCCTAATAATTTCTCAGTGCTAATTACAAGGAGGGGTAAAAAATATATTTCCTCGTATAAAAACATTTTTTTGATTTTACTAGTTCAGGCGTCACTTCTTATAGCTGATTGTCGAGTTTGCAATTTTCTTCTTAGAAGCCAAAGAAGAGAGTTGTTTTCCTTGTTCGTTTCAAGATGTGCGGAGGCGCGATTATCTCCGATTTCATCGCAACAGCGAGACCGCAGAGGGTCACCGCCAACACTCTCTGGCCGGATCTGAGGAAGAAGAAGAAGGGAGGCCGAAAGATTCGATCGGCGGAGATCGAAGATGATTTCGAGGCTGATTTCCAGGAGTTCGAGGACGAGACTGAGGTGAGCGAAGTGGTCGATGAGTACGACGAAGATGAACTGATTGAGCTAAAGCCGTACGCATTCCGCCAAAATGGGACGCCTTTATCCCGAGGTAAGCACCATTACCCTTATTTTTGTGTTGAAATTTAGTTTAATCAATGATTTCCTTTTGATATAGTTTATGGGGGCGGTTATTGGATATCATAGCAATTGGCTTTTCATTGTGGATTTAATTGGAAATGGAGCATGCGAGAAAGGATTTGATGATATGCATGTTGAAGTTTGCGTTGCGATTTTTGTGGGCTCTCGACCTTTTTATTTTGTCTGCTAATGTTTCTGCCGGATAGGGTATTTTGATGAAGAACCATCCGTGTTTTCATACGTAAATTATCATTTGATATTTCAGATTCTTACTTTTTGAGTTTTAAAGGCTCCATCATGAGAAGTTTGACCTGATCTTAGTACTTGATATGTTTCACATGCTTGCGCCTATCTATTTTTTTATATCACTTGTGATTAAGGTTCCTTCTGCAGGAGTAGCGTGTAATATGTTTATTCTTAGTGATTTTACTTGTATATTGTAAGATTAAGGAACTGATGTTCTCATAATTGAACTTTCATGGAGTGCAGTATGGTGAGCTTGCCTTTACTAATCGATTGTACATGAATTGTCCTGATATCCGATTTGTTCCATTGATATCGTGATTGCTTATCAATTCCAAAGGTCTTAGCAAATTAAGAATAAATTTGAATTTTGACTGGTGATATATTATTAATCTTATATAAATAGAGACGGCCAGATGTATGTAAAGAGGAGGAGGAAGAAGAAGTTTCAGTTGAATTGTAGGAGTTAATTTCAACTTTTTATTTTTCCCAAGATAAATTTCTTCTCTTGTTAACATTTGTTGGGGTAAAAAACTTCTTTTTCCTTAAGACAGGAAGACGAGCAGGGGTGTTTAATCTGGTAGTTTCTCTCTCATTGAGATAACCATAATCTAAAAAAGAAGGGGAGCTCTAAAAGTTAGATCTTTTCTGAAGTTTTGTTTTCTTTTCACTTGAGAGAGGACAGAAACGAGAAGCTTCTGTTTAATTGTAGGAGCTTATTTTAACTTCTTTTCTCCCCTCTTCCTAAGATTAGCTGCCCCCCCAAACTTTTTTTTGGTTATAAGAGGGGGACGGATGATCAGGATTTAATTTGATATTTTCTCTCCCACTGAGATAAAATTATCTGAAAGGAGCTCTATAAGTTAGATCTGTTTTGGGGTTTTTATTTTCCCCTTTGAGCGAGACAATAAAAAGAATAAATTGAAGGTAAAATCATAAATTGAGATATTCTATTTGCTTCACCATAGATCCCATGCGGTATCATAAAAGTTGCTTGAATTATGTTGTTATAATTCCTCTTTGTTTCATGAAGAAAATTGTCCATACAAGAAACTATGACTGCATGCTTACTTTTATTTAGTTGAAAACATAAATTATTTTGCTTGATTTCTTTCATACAATTCTCTTTTATCGTTATCATCAACTCCCCAAGGGATCAAAGAGAGTTCAATCATTGGGAAATGCCCACAATTTGATGGACCTGCTGAGAAATCGGCCAAAAGAAAGAGAAAGAACCAGTACAGAGGAATCCGTCAGCGCCCATGGGGCAAGTGGGCAGCTGAGATCAGAGATCCTCGCAAAGGAGAGAGGGTCTGGTTGGGGACATTTGACACTCCTGAGGAGGCTGCCAGAGCTTATGATGCTGCAGCGCGTAGAATTCGGGGTAAGAAAGCCAAAGTGAACTTCCCTGATGAAGCCCCTAAAGCTGTGCCGAATCAGGTGAAATTGAGCTCACCAAAAACAAAGAAACCTAACCTTTCCAAGGAGGTGAACTTCAATCAAGTATTTGGTTTTCCAAAAAATGCATATTACGATGTCAATTCTAGTCCAGGGCTTGGGAAGGAGGAGCCCCTGAAGCTTGAACCAGCTAGTTCATCACCTGCTTTGAAAGCTTTCTCACCTCCCGAGGAAGTCATGAATTTCCTTTCCGAGCAGGAAAGCAACTCTCTGAATTCCTCAGACTTTGGCTGGGACCATGATTCTAATATGCCAGAGATCACATCAATTCCTCCTTCAATTTTTGAAGATCATGAATCTGGATTCCTGGAAGAAAGCGCACCAAAGAAGAAACTCAAAAACAATTATGGTGAGGTGGTCTCAGCTGATGAGGATGCTGCAATGAAACTCTCTGAGGAGCTATCAGCCTTTGAGTCTTACATGAAGTTCGGGCCATTTCTTGAAGGAGGCTCAGATCTATGCTTTGATTTCCTTCTTGGTAGTGATATGACTCAAGATGGGATCAATTTCATGAACCTTTGGAGCTTTGAGGACGTGCCAATGTCAGGAAGTGTCTTCTAAATGGATTTCGGTAAATAACGAGATAAGTGTAAGAATCCCCCTGCTCTGTTCCAGTTTGTAATCTTAGATTGTTTTTAATTTTATCATTAATTATGTTTATCCACTGATATATTTTATTTTTCAGGATTTATGTTTATGGAAGTTATGGAGAACCAGAATTGTTAGCCAGCTCTGATGTGTTTCATTGAACTGTGTTTTTTGAAACAGATATGAGATTCTATCCTTCAAAACTTTATATACTGTTGTTTATATGTGATGCGTTGTTTAGATCTTGAAGATATATTTATGTATTGTTTATATGTGGTTGTCTGGAACTTATCAGTGCTTCTCATGATTTGTGTTTCTTTGTGTTCCTGGAGATGTTTCTGAGGGGACACTTGGCTGCTTGAAGTTCATGTTTTGTAAAGTCATGAATTTGGCTTCATTTGGGGTGGCTTTCTTACTGCTTCTTAAAGCAAATTTCTTATTCAAAAATTAAAAATTTTCAACTAAAAAATTGCTTTATAAAGCAATAAGAAAGCTGTCTCAAAAGAAGCCTTTATTAGTTCCATTATTTGGTTGGATAAACTTTAAAAAACCAATATTGAATTTGAACTCTAAAACCACCCAAGTAAAATTTCTCTAATGCAATGATTTCATTTTCATACACAAAATGATTGAAAAAGAAATCTTCTTTTTTAAAATATATTCTGCATCTTTAAGCAACTAAAACTGCCCCCAGAATGATGCTGCAATGTTATCAAGCATTTGTGGTTGGTTTCTTTCTGCAATTCTATCACTTCTGCACGACTTTTGTATTAAAAAGGTAGAATTCTGTCCTCCATTGCTGAATTAGTACTAGTATTTCTCTACTTTTGGATGGGAGGCATTGAAAATTTTGTTCAGCAAGTTTTGTAGGCTTGCCGCTGCTGTGTGTGAAGAGTTCCATGTAGAACTGAATGCTCTCAACCTGGTCTTTGTCTGCTTCTAACCTGTGATCTGTTTAGGACTTCAGATATCTCCTACTCCATGAATTGTGAATTGGAAAGGAAATTAAGAAATGAAGAATAATTCATTATGTATAAATCTGAACTGTTCGACTTCTCTCAGGGATATGGATATAATTTCATACAAGTGATTATCTACAGGTCCCGGAAAATTATTACGTGCGGCGTCCGGATTCGTTCATAGGCAAATCCGGACGCACTACATCATCCGGGGCCCGGTGCATCCGATTGACGTGGCGAGTCCGAATTCACCTCTGAATGATTAGGACACCGCACTTAATAATCTCTTGCAGGTCACATTGTGGAAAGCCAAATTCAAATTGAATTGTGATACCCAGAAACGAGACAGAGGACCCACTTGTCTTTTAGAGGAAGTGCTAGAAACTTTTAGTATTTTCTTTTAGGTGTGGGAGCTAAGGGTTGGTGTATCCATGTCTTTGCAAAAATGCTATGCAAGTTTGATTTGACAGAATATGCTGCGTTTGTGTGCTATATACGCTTTACAAAGAGTATGCTTTGCGCTAAATTTGGATTTTTGTCTTTGGCTGAATAACTTCTAAGAAATAATTTTTGGCTAAAGAGCAGTCTTAGCAATTATTTCTGCAACTTGCTACTTACTATTATTTGGCTTGGGCTTCCACTGATGGAATCTAAATTAGTACTCTACTGTTATAATCAGTTCTTTTCTTTCGAATATCTGAAACATCTTTCAGTCACCCTAATTGTTCATTGCCTATTCAGAATTTAAAGATGTTTTACAGTATAAAATTACTGCTTCCAAAGGTTTTTGAAGTTATTTGACCTATTTTGTAGAGGAAACTGTAGTAGATATTTTCAGTCTAGGCAAGAACTTTTGAATACATTATACAACAATAACAAGTCTTTATTCAACTATGTGGGATCGATTACATGAATCCTTTTTCTCCATGCTTGGTTGGTGCGCTATGGCCATAGTCATGTGTTAGGCAAGTGGAAAAGATTGTTAGGTATGGTGGATGGATTTAATGCCGAAACTCTGTACTACTGAGGAAAAGAAAAGAAAGAATAATAATAAAAATAAGCTATGCTGTCTCTTTCTTGAGCATCTAAAAATGACTCAAGGCTTTAAACTTTGAGACAGTTTTTTTTTTTATTTTTTAAAATAATTTTTTATAATAAAAATTTTAATTTTTAAATTAAAAAATTGTTTTAAGAAGTAATAAAAAAATCGCCTCAAATGGAGCCTAAATTTTTTGAAAATTTTCTTCAATATTCCTGTCAAATCAAAAGGTGGAGATTTGACTCATGTTATCTTGAAATTTAAATTGGACCATCATATTCTTGCTACTGATACAACTGGAAAATGTGTCAACTTGCTTTAGGAAATGGGACTTTATGTCATTCTTTATATGGCATTAGTAAAATTGAACTGTTGAGAGTGAGGATTGATGGTATCAATTACCTCAGTCTCTTTTGATGGCTAGCACAAGTGAAAATGTTGGAGTAGTTTTGTTGACATATAAGATTAGAGATAGTTTTTTCAAGTGGTTTGGTCACATAAAATAGTGGCCTTCAGATGACCCGTTTAGGATAATAGATGTATTAGATTTGATCTATATTAAGAAATGTAGAGATATGCTTAATAAGATTTGGATAGACAATATTTGAAATGACATTTATTTATTATATCTAAATGAGAATTTGAACCCTAATAGGTGATGCAGGACATAAATGCAATGAATATGATTTGATTAAGAAATTTGCACACTTAAATTTTAGAGAACAATAATAAGCAAAATTTTATATTGATTTAAACGATAAGATAAAACACTAAGGTGATAAAATAAGCTAAGGCCAAAACACATGCGTAGAAGTTAAGATCATAAAATAGTCAATTAATCTAATGTTGCATATATGGAAGGTTTTCAACAAAATTTCTATGCTAACAATAAGATTAGTCACTATGCAAGGATTCCTAACTCAACTTCCTAAATTACTATGCTTTAGCGGAGGGATCAACAAGAATCTTTGTGAATCAAACTATAACCACAATTGAAAGGTGAATTATGAAGATATAAGAGTATGAAGAAAAGTTTATCAAGGGAAAGACAAATACGGAGCTATGACGTAGTTGCTTTGGTGTTGGGGAAGCGGTGGAAAACAACACACAACCCCTAACTGCCTTAGGACAACAATTTGATGATCTTTGGCGGGTGGGCAGCAAGTTCCTTTGAACTGGTTTCTCTAAACATCAAACTAAGGCTTTTGGACAGCACACGATGATATCCGGGTGGCAAGACAGCCACCATAAACAGTCCAAAAATTCTGGACAACAATCTGCTCAGGGAAATAAGGTTTTTGACGGCTAGGATTTGCTTGGAGGGGCAATTAAGTTGGCTAGGGGATAGGGAGAGGTGGCAGCTGGATTTGGGAAAAAGACTAAGGGAATTGATTTTAGAGCTTAGTAGGGAATTAATTAGATAGGGGAGCTAGGGTGGGCCGACCATGCATGGGGAGTTAATTGGTGAATTTATGATTCCTTCCAATCTTAGGTTGCTAATTATGGAAAGAGAATTAGAGAGAAATCTCTAATCAATTTCAGATTTGAGAGGATTTGGGAGTTTCCAAAAATAAACCAGTCTCATTAGGAAAGGGTTTCAAATTCAATTTAATTGGAATTTGAAATTTGAATTCTTTCCAAAGTTAAGATGATCTAAATTAAGAAGGCATTTAATTCTTTTCCAAATGAGAGGTTTTTATTTTGGAAAGCATTAAGGAGGAGGAGACATAGAGGGGTTGGCAGCATCAAGAGGAATTTGGGGAAATTTTGGTAAGGTCTTGATACTTACTTAGGTGGGATTGTCAACTTACGGAAGAGAATTTAATTCAAACCTAATTTGAATTTGATTTAGAAACTTTCCTAAAATAGGATTATATTTTATGAAAGGTTTCAAAATTCAAAATTGATTTGAATAATTGAAATTGAAAAGTTTTCCCAAAAGAGGCTAAGTAAGAAAGGAAAGTATTGATGAGGAATTTGAAAATTTGGAGGCAAGGGGATGGGGCTATGGCCGGCGGCTAGGTTAGGGTTTGGGTAAGGGGTCAGCGGCTAGGGTTGGGAGGATGTTGGTTGGGTGGATGGTGGTACTAGGCCGGCGGCTATGGGGAGGGAAGGGAAGGCTGATTGTGAGGTAGAAGAGGGAATGGGTAGGGGCTTGCCGACAGTGGAAGGGAAGGAAGAGGGAGGGAGGAGGGGAGGAAGAAAAGAAGATAGGGAAGAAAATAATCATGAATCCTGATTCTTCCAAGGTTGGTGGGTGATCTGTTACCCTCTCATAGGGATTTCTCTCCAAAGCTCTCAAGCTCTCGCACAAATACAACATTGCAGAAATTTTCATTATCATTCATTCATTAACCTCAAAAGAAACATATGGGGCTTATATATAGCTTCCTACAATAAAAGAGAAATAAAAAACCACATTGCACCTAGGGCATACATACGACAAAGCTCTTAAGTAAGGGCAAAACAGGAAAATCTACTAAAACAAATACATAAAGCACATAAATAAAACAAATACATATGAATACTCAAAAATAAATCGGCGCGATCTAGACCGTCGATCCTCGGTCGCGACTCTGAAAGACCTTTCCTGATCCGATGTCCGCATCAATGGACACAATAGACTTGATATCGTTGTAGTTGCAAGTCTTTTTAGATCTATCTTTACCTTTCTTAAGGGCATTGTTTGAACATAATTCTATTTATCTTATGGTGTTGTCAACACTTTGATTGAATTGATTGTGTTATTCAATGATCAATCTAATCACTTATTAGAAGATAATTAAGAACTCTTCATCTTGTAAGGATCCTCCAAAATAAGAAAGGGTTGCTTAAAGATTAATTTTGCTAATTCTCTATTGAGATCAACTTTGTACCAGATGTTAACTCAAAGCTTTTTAATGGCATCTTTGTAGAAGGACTTCAAGCTGAAAATTTTTATTTAGCATTGATGAGAGAGACATTCCAATTGTATGTGAACTTAAATTATTATGTTGAAGCTTTTATCATGCAAATGAAGCGATTGAGATACATCACCAACAACCTAAGCAAAAAAATAGGATGCATGATTCATCAGAGGTACTTTGGTTAGGATTTGTGAAATTGGTTTGTTTATTGTAATACCCGCCTCCAAAACAATAGATTGGTATTAGGAGTAAGATATGATTAGCATATATTGAAGGTTCCTTGCTTCTTTTCTCATATCTTATAGAATAAGAGATACTAATGACTGATCGTAACTAATTTTTTTAGTTTAATTTTTATTATATATGTTATTTTAATAAAGACTCTATCATTAGCATAATAGAGTGGGTGGCCTTTCAATAAACATCATAGAAATGTTAGTCAATATAGTTAGTTATATGAATATGCTTAAATTTTTTGCTTTTCCAAATTTAGTTCTTTAAAAGAAGAGCTTTGTTTTGCCCTTTCTTGTGTCTAAATATAATAATAATATATTACTATTATTATAAAGGTGCTTTCACATAAAAGTAAAGAAATTTGACTTATTTTGCAATATTTGGGGTGTCTCGTCTTGGAGAAAATTTTCAGTATTTTAGATTATTTTCTGTTTTAATTTCAAACTTCAAAGTAGACTCTAAGATGCAATTTGAGCCCATAAATGCGTTCAAGCTTAATTTTTTCTTAGCAATTTCTTATCTAAGACTATAAATATGTAATATGCACATAATCCCCAGATATATAACTAGGATTCCAAAAGCTTATTAGGAAATAAACCAAAATGTAAATAAGTAGAATATCATTAAATGAGCTGGCAGTGTATTCTGTTCTCCTCATACCTGCAGCTTGTCTATATATAGCCATGTACCTTGCCTGTTTCAGATCAGTGAATAATAAAATCATTCTCTATATTTCTTCTTCCTGCTTGCGTTCAAGAACCGAGAGTCTCTATTCAAGAACTCTTAGGTTCTACATGGTATCAGTCAGCTCGTTCCTTCAGGGCATACAATGACGACATCTTCCATCTCTCCTCCCGAAATCTCCGGCACGTCTACTCCGAGCAATCCTCCGGCCATCTCGTCTACCTTGAAGTTTGTAGTTTCCAATCTTAAAACGATTGTGCAAACTCAACTTCAACCGGAAAACTATCCCATCTGGAGATGGCAAATCTCCAAGGTTCTTCGTGCAAATGGGTTCGAATCGTATCTCTTTTCTCCTTCCTCGCCTGTATCCCCCATTCTTGATCAGGCAGACGGCTCTACCCTCCCTAATCCTGAGTATTCTACCTGGTTACTCAACGATCAAAATTTAGCTGCTGCCATCTGTTCCACGATTTCATCTCCTATTCTGCCTTATATTATCCACCTCGACTCCACGTTTCAGATCTGGCAGACGCTTGAAACAAGATTTCAATCCACTAATCGTTCCAAGGTTATTCAATTAAAGAATGCCTTGCATCACATCTCTCTTAAAAACTCATCCATTACTCAATACCTGTCCGACATCAAATCTCTTGTAGATCAAATCGCTGCTGCCGGATCCACCCTTGACACGGAAGACATAGTGCTTCATATTCTCAACGGTTTACCCCCCTCATATCAATCGTTTAAGACTTCCATTCGCACTATGCTTACTCCTATTAGCCTCGACAACCTGTACGCTCTTCTTCTTAGCGAAGAAATTAACATTGCCTCGGATGCGGAACTCTTAGGTTCTACAAAGCTGAGGAACTAAAATACATGAAAAATGCTTAAACATATATACATTATTTGAATGGACTGTATCTAAGATATCTATCTACTAAAAGAATAGAATTTACAGTATAGAAATTGAAAAAAACAAAATTGTACAAATTCAACTTGCGAAAATGTACAGATGGAAAAATTACCAGAGTTTCTCAGTTTCTTGTTCAGCTGCTCCTAAAATGTTATGTTGGTGTATTTATTTCTCTGGCCGCATACTAAACTCAGAAATTTAGATCAATAGCAAAGAGCTCCTCCATGGTTGACCCAATGCACGAATCTCTCAGAAAATTCACCAACATCAGAATTCTGCACACCAACGGTGGCCTGCAATAACATCAAGATGAAATCAACATCATAAAAGCTTGTGTTTAGGTTGTTAAGCAGTTCATGCTCACCTCGTAAACTGACGGGTTAAAAGACCAACATAATATCCAGACCCAATTCATTAAAAGACTTAACACAATTTCATTCGTTTATGCTAGTATGGAAGATTTTGTAGAACTTTATACAGAATGGTTTGCAAAATGTTTTGCAATTAATCAAATCCAAGATAGATTTGTAAGATTGGCGCAAGCAGATAAATCTGTTATCTGATATAAGGCGAAATAAAATCATGCACTTTTTGAAACTTGGGAGACTTGGGCTTCATTTGAGATAACTTTCTTACTACTTTCTAAAGAAACCTTTTCATATAGAAATTTCTTATACTAAAAATTTTTGTACTAAAAAACTGCTTTAGAAAGCAATAAAAAAGTTGTCCCAAACGAAGTCTTTGGTTAAATATGCTTTTATCTTGTTTTTTTAATTTTTTTTTTTTGGTTTTTTCACGTTAAATCATGGTGTCATTTACTTTTCGCTGCTTTTACTTTCTTGTGTGTTTCATCATTGTGATGTTTACTCCTCGTCTCATTCCCCAACATTTAATATTTTATTTCAATTTTAAATATTTTAGATTTAATATTTTATTTCAATTTTAAATATTTTAGATTTAATATTTTATTTCAATTTTAAATATTTTAGATTTAATATTTTATTTCAATTTTAAATATTTTAGATTTAATATTTTATTTCAATTTTAAATATTTTAGATTT